TAATCGGATTTTACTTGACCTTGGCTGTTTTAAAAAGTGAAAATGCAATCCTGCCTAATATATAAAATATAATGTAAAAGTGTAAGTGAACATTATGGGTATAGTAATGTCCCTCATAAAGGATGGGAAATGGGGAGCAAATTAAAATAATATAAAGATACATTATAAACCATGCTCAATCACTTGTAAGGTTTAACAGTCAACTGATGTTAGCTAGAGAATGCCCTACTCCACCAGCCATAACCACATATTCAACAACTGTGAATTTCTTTTGTTAGCCTGGCACCTATTATTAGGTCACTACTCCTGTAGCTATTGTTACACTAGTAACAGTAACCGCCTATTAGGTGTTATCAGATGTGTGGTATCCTGTCTAAGTCTTTGTTTATATGAGACAAGCAGCAAATGAGTAAACAGCTATCAAGACAGTTTAAATTCTGGAAGGGTACAGAGTGGAAGGGTACAGAGTGGAAGGGTACAGAGTGTAGAAAAATCGGATTGAGGAAGGTATATGTATTACAGTAATGCATTTGATCATCTAATCAAATTGAAAATGAGATAATTAATTGATCTAATTTGTAGTGTACCTTGTAAACATCATATATATATATATATATATATATATATATATATATATATATATATATATATATATATATATATATATATATATTACATTAAACAAGTTATAATTTATAATGAAGAAACAAGGATACATAATGCAGTGTGTAGAAAACGAAGCCATCACATCTAGTTACTCGTGATATTAGGGATTTTCGACACGCATTTTCAGTGACATATGAATAAAGCATAATTTACTGTGATTTGTGAATTGGTGATTTAAATTCATGTGAACTGTGATCACTACCCCCCCCCCCCCAATGGGACCCACAGCTAAGTATCACCATGGCCGAAACAAATTGAACCATATGACAATTATTGAAGGTGGACCGTCTACGTCACAATGGACGCTCTGATCCATATCGCTCTACTGGTCAGTTGCATATAAGGCCGTTTTACACGCCTCCCAATACTTGAAAAATGTATTGGTGCACATTGTACTTAAATACCCATATTGGCTTTGTTACGACAGACATGTATGACTGGGTTTTATAACGTGTCATGAGGCTGATATCTTCATCATAACGTGTCATGTGAAATGAACACCCAGCTCTTCGGGCGGGCTTATAAGTAACACACCTGTTGGCAGGCTGTTGCACATAAGTTTTTTTCTGTCTTAGATAAAAAATCTTAACAAATTTTTTTTCTAATTGCCTCCAATTTTTGCCATTGAATTTTCTGTAGAAATTTCATCTATATAATTTTTTGGATATCCAGCTTTTTGAAAAATTTATATCTGTCCTCTATATAAGCTGTGATATATTATATGGTATTTTCAAACTTTTTTCAAATTTTGATTTTTTTTTTTTTTGGGGGGGGGGCGCGGACAACTATTAAGAAATGAATATTATTGATAATTTTTTTCCTACTTTATAACAAACCTATTGGTTTTAGACATATGAAAATCTTAAATTCGGATTAATCCAGGTGAGAAATTTTGCCATGCCATTTCGCTTGAGCTTGAAGCTACAAAGGAAAAAGTAGATTTTTCGATTGAAAAGAGATCTTTAGTCCGGAGCCCTTTCAATGTCAGGGCAGCAGGTGAGGATAAGGAGTACCTTTTACTTTCCGCGTGATTGGCTTTATTTTTTCGAGCGCGATTTGTTATTTGAGCCCAATATTCTGCGTGAAACGTAATAAAAGAAAATCTTTTTTCCGCGTTATTAGTGATTGGCCTGAATATATCTTGAACTGTATACATTTACCTGGGTAGACAATTAAAATGTTATTATGTCCTCATAATGTCCGATACTTAAATGGAGGCATGTAAGTAAACAAGGGCTACGTAGCACGGTATAATGTGGAGAGAGAGAGAGAGAGAGAGAGAGAACTGAAAAGCAGCAAATAAAGTGTATGAAAGAATATAAAATAAATGTTTTATAATTTCACCTAGCGCAACATCTAAACAAAAGTCAGTGCCATCTCCACATTAGCATTGATTTTGAACATCTTTCCATTTCTTAATCGAGTTTTGCCCTGCTTACTAACCTTTTAAAGGTTTTTTAAGTTTTTTTTTTTCAAAATTTCACAAACGGGATTTTTCGCTTTCCATTAGTATGAGGGCGGGAGCGTTGTTTAATTTCTCATATAAGGAATGTTTGTTTAACCCGAGGCATAAGTGCTGACAAAAGGTATGACGCATATCCTAACTACACGTACATGTATTATAGCCTTGTGTTCGTATATTTCTCCTGCAGCTACATTATGTAATACAGTTGCACTAGTTTTAGTATTGTTTGGAACAGTGTCTAGTACAAGGTTTACATAATCCATATTATTTTCTCCTGTCAATGATCGACCTAGGCTCTGTTCAAAACCAACTTGATTTGTGGACAATCTAGCCACCAGTCAAATATGACCGACCCACCTGAAAGCTTGTTACGTAATTCCCTGTTTGATTACCCGCGGAGATTACACGACAAGCTTTCAAGTGGATCATTGGAGACAAAAAGTTAACCTGTTTTAAAGAATCATAAAAAACTATCATGGTGGTTTTCTCATATGAGTCGGCCATATTTGACCCTCGGACTAGTCAGTTCCCTATTCTGAATGGTCTCTAAGAGGTATGATGGGTGCACATGCATGTTATATGTTGTCTGGGGTTACATTATATAAGCACTATAGCTGGGCCAGAGTAACAATTATCCCCTCCCCACCTCATTTCTATTTAAATGTCATGGCAAGTAATAATGAATATTTTTAATAGCATTAATAAATCTTTAGCCAATAACTATACTGAATATATTCACCAGTTTTGCAGTCTGGTGTTATATATTTCATGGCCAGACCTTTCTTGGTAATTAAATTTCTTATAAAATAATTTTCATAATTTTAGAATCAAAATGAGGCAATGCAGTATCAAATAGAGTTCTGTGACATGGTATTTTTATTTTTAAAGCTTTTAAAACATTCTCACTCGAGGTTTCAGAATTCAAATCTCAATTCCTGAAACAATGTCCTTTAAATGTAAAATTAATTTCATTTGAATCCTTTTCTCATATCTATAATGAGTCATACGTGTAACAACTAAAATATATTAGTATCTTATTTGGAATGTTATTTAGGAATGTCCATTGTAAGTAAATAATACTGTTAAATACCCATACAAAAGTTAACTACCAGAATTACTTACTTGCATTATACATTTGTTGATAAAAATACTTTAACATGTGAAGTCTACCCCAGAAGTGTTTTCTATCTTTTCTTACTAAAATACTTCTATTTCTAATGTGCATGTATGAGGACATAAAAAAATATTGAAACAATCATTTGCAGTAAATTGTTGTAAATTTTGATTTGTTCATAAAAAAGGTATTTACTTGATGTGACACTGTATAAAGAGAGACATAAAATGTCTTAATAGAGATACCTTGAATAACTTAGAAATTCACTTCTTACAGATTGACTATATGTATTACAGTTAGCTAATCCTGCATAGCATCTGGATATCAATGTTCATGGATAGCTATTTTACATATTGCAGTTTTGTTTGTTGAAATCACATATCAGTAAAATGGAACTTTACATACTGCATACAAAAATACACATTTTTCTCTGGAAACCTTGGAAAAATGCTATGTAATTAATGTGACAAAAAGTAATAAAACATGATATTGTTTAAAACTGCAAACAGTGCAACACAAACTGTCATAAAAATATATAAGTAACTTTTGCTGATACAAATCTGTTCCGTAAATCTGATTGCAGCATTGTATTTCAGGTTATTTCCCATGCCGTCTTATACATATATGGAATACAAGTTTATGCTGGATATGAAATTCACCAGTGAAAAACCATATAACCTCCCATCAGGGATATGTTAGATATAATCCATCATGTCTATAACTCAATAATAAGTCATCATTATGAGTCTGATAACAGCTATGGATTTCTCTCTTCTTGTTAGTTTAGATAAGGTGATAATGAGGCAGCATTCAGCCAAAATTTACTCCTGTTCTATAATATCACCCTCCAGATAAAAATAAACTTTGTTTGGATTTTGGATTAATAAAAAAAGAGAAATGCAACTAGAACAAATGTCTTTTGCCATGGTCATCGCAGCCAAGAGAATGTGACTAGTTATATCTAGAAAAGTAGGATTTTGGAGTAGTAAAGTCACTGTGCAATGTCTCTTCAAATGCAGTAAGATCCACCGGTTGGCCGTCAGTGTCCTCGTAGTATTGGTAAGCTGAGCGGTGGTATGGGTAGGACGCCATAGCCTCCGATGTTTGTCCTAGTCTGTTATCATAGCCATTTTCTCCTACTGGCGTGCCATAGCCATCGTAATAGCCATTGTAGTAGTTCCAATCCTCTGGGCCATAGCCATTGTAAAAATAACCATTTCTTGAGGCTGTTGATAGGGCCTTTGAAGGTTTTCCAGTTTTTCTAACTTTGCTGGAGAAAAGAAAGAAAGAGTTTTTAAAATTAATTTTTGATACATTGAAGAAAAGTCATTTTACTATGAATAGTGAGTGCTATTTGTACAACCAATCGAGTTGATTGTTTATTATGTCATTAGAAATGAACTTCATTTATGCATATGTAATGCAGTCTTATATATCTAAGTGGAAAATTTTTATTATCCTATATATAATATATTTTCATTAAGAACAAATATTGTATTGGATATTATCAATTGATCTTTTTCTTATGAAATATACATTCAAATTAAATGTGACTCAGTTTAATCTGAAAACTGATACAATTTCTTGATGTCAGCCCTTTTTTAAAAGTAAACAGCTGCATAAATATAAGGCCATGAATAGATTAACGTATCTAGCGTCTATAATTTTTGGAAATTCTATTAAAGAGCTGTTTTAGCCAACCATTGCTCCCTGCTACTTAAAAACTTTTACTTACAAGCAGAAGTAACAGATGCCAAATATCCCCAGTACTGTAAGTAGTGCAGCAAAGCCAACACTTAGGCCAACAACTGCTTCAAAGGACAGCTCTGACCTCAGATCTGCAAACACAACGTAGTGGACACTTTTAACCAGATTTCAAGCTACTCTAGTAATAAATTGTCAGCAATTTTGATATCATAATTATATTTGTTAGCGTTTTATGTCCATGTAGATAATATCAACATGTTAAATTTGTTTGAAAACATTATTGAAAACACATTTTGAAAAAATGCGTTTAGATATGGATTTTTAGCACAAAAAATCATCATTTAATCTCTATTCTCATTAGAGTATAAGTTTGGTGAAAATAACTATCAAGTACACCAGTTTACAATTCAAATACCATACCCAGTGAAATATACAGGTGTGCACTGTCGCGGTATCTCCGCAGTTTCTTACCTGAATGGATGTGACAGAACTCCCCCTCATAGTTGGGGTTACATATACACTCAGGCTGGCCAGTGGTCTTCAGCTGACAAGTGCCCTGCTCACAGTACTTGGTGGGTAGGCTGTCATTACACAGGCCTGGAATAATACAGTAAAACAGTGTTAAATACAGGGACAGCGTGCGTGTGTGTGTGTGTATGTGTGTGTGTGTGTACACTCATTTTAATTTCATTATTTTCCATACATTATACCAAAAATATAATATCTGATTTTTTTATGTTCACAGAAAATTACTCAAATGCACACACTCACATAAGGGCACACACACACACACACACTAGACTTAAATTCTGTGAAGACGCGGTACTTCAGTGAAGTTGAGAGTGAGCATTACTTACTGAGGCAGTCCTGCAGTGAGGTTGAGAATGAGCAGTACTTACTGAGGCAGTCCTGCAGTGAGGTTGAGAGTGAGCATTACTTACTGAGGCAGTCCTGCAGTGAGGTTGAGAGTGAGCAGTACTTACTGAGGCAGTCCTGCAGTGAGGTTGAGCTGCTGTTGACAGTGTTGGTGTATACAGGACAGGACATGCAGGCATACTGTCCACTCTGGTCCTGATAAGTCCCCACTGAACACACAGCACATGTGTTGGCCTCATTCTTTGTCCCTGGTGGACAGTTTACTAAATAAATATAAAGCACATGTTTTGAAAGTGTCAATATAAAACTGAGGACATAAAGTTGGTCATGATCCTTACAAGCTCAAACATTAGTTAAAACATCAGATTTTCAAGTTTTTAAATACAAGTTACTTGGTTGATAATCACAATCAACCTATATCAATAAATAAATAAATAAATTTAAGCAATCAATTTATTTACTAATTAAATGAAAATAAAATGCATCCAGAATATCCTCAACTGAGTCATAGAAAGCAAACGTTAAAAAAAATCTGTGACAGTTCAGCAGCAGCACCTGCTTTACAAACTGTATTTTTATAAGACATCAATTACAGCAAAGTAGATGGTTGCATTCAGAGAGGTAAGCTAGAGGCATAGACATAATTAGATCCAGCTGTCTACATTGATTGACATGTATATACCCTAGTCATCTTTCTATAATACTTTTATTAACTAGATTAATGAAAATACCATCCACTTACACCCCTTTCCCCCAAAATAAATTAATTAATGATGAAAATTAAAATAAAATATCAAGGAGGAAGATAGAGGAGAGTTGTCTGTTGCCTGTTCTATAACTCACTGTAAATATAAAAAGACTGCAAACACATCTAAAAATCATGAGTGACAATCACTGACCTTGGTCACATTGAGATTCATTGGTGGAGCCTTGGTTCCTGGTCAGCCGTCCATTACTACATAGAGTGCAGGACTCAGGGCCATCAGTGTCTTTGTAGGATCCTATGGCACAGGGTCGGCAGGTGCCTGACTGGTCTTCCTGACCCAGGGGACAGCGATCTGAAATATCAGTGTCAGTGAAAATTGAGGGTGCGTTCACAATGAATTTATTGACCTAGCTACTGCATACCCTGTATTCACTCCATGGGGACTCTTGCTGTATGCAATCAATTTAATATATTAACACATTATCATTGTGAAAGGGCCCTTAAATTTGGATGGGCAGACCCCCTTTCCCTTACATAAGCCAACATCTTTTTTATAGTAAAACATAACATTCAGAGCCATTAAAAGGTGTATAAGAAGTACAACTCACATTTGCACTCTGTCAGTGCTGTGGTTGCCATGGTTGCTGTAGTTTTGTTATCAGGACAGAGAATACAGCTGGTCTGCCATTTGTCTGGTTGGTAGGAATTCAGTGGACATGGTACACAGCTGTTGTTGGAGCTATGGATGTAATAGCCAGCAGTACAATTACCTGGAATATAGATATATGGATGTAATAGCCAGCAGTACAATTACCTGGAATATAGATATATGGATGTAATAGCCAGCAGTACAATTACCTGGAATATAGATATATGGATGTAATAGCCAGCAGTACAATTACCTGGAATATAGATATATGGATGTAATAGCCAGCAGTACAATTACCTGGAATATAGATATATGGATGTAATAGCCAGCAGTACAATTACCTGGAATATACCGTAGATATATGGATGTAATAGCCAGCAGTACAATTACCTGGAATATAGATTTATAAGTAGTGCATTTCCACTTTGACATAGGTACTATTTCATTTCTCTCTGAAGTCAACCATAACATGTTAAAAAGTTCTACTTTTTCAATAAAAGTCCCTCTCCTTTGAAGATTGCTGGCTGTAGATTTCCTTACCAATATTACAGTCTGTTTCCCTTGTGGTGCCATTACCAGCAGTGATCTTATCAATAGGGCAGAGCTCACAGGGCAGGAACTTAGAGAGAGGAGACTTTGAGTTGTCTTTGTAATACCCTCTCAGGCAGGCTGTACATGAGGTGCCATTGCCCTCCTGACCATCTGGGCAAAAGGCTGGAAATAAAACATCACCGTGTGACAAGTAATTATCTGGTATTTTACTTTCAGATTTTCGAGATCTTTCAGGCATTAATAAAGTGTACTTTTTGGCATAAAGCTAAGTAATTTTCAGTGTTAATTGGGGCAGAAGGGTGTAGCAAACATAGTCTACTGACTATGAAATGAGGAACATTTGCAAATATTATCCTTTGCACTGGGATTCAACAGATCTAGTTAATTTATCCTTTGCACTGGGATTCAACAGATCTAGTTAATTTATCCTTTGCACTGGGATTCAACAGATCTAGTTAATTTATCCTTTGCACTGGGATTCAACAGATCTAGTTAATTTATCCTTTGCACTGGGATTCAACAGATCTAGTTAATTTATCCTTTGCACTGGGATTCAACAGATCTAGTTAATTTATCCTTTGCACTGGGATTCAACAGATCTAGTTAATTTATCCTTTGCACTGGGATTCAACAGATCTAGTTAATTTATCCTTTGCACTGGGATTCAACAGATCTAGTTAATTTATCCTTTGCACTGGGATTCAACAGATCTAGTTAATTTATCCTTTGCACTGGGATTCAACAGATCTAGTTAATTTATCCTTTGCACTGGGATTCAACAGATCTAGTTAATTTATCCTTTGCACTGGGATTCAACAGATCTAGTTAATTTATCCTTTGCACTGGGATTCAACAGATCTAGTTAATTTATCCTTTGCACTGGGATTCAACAGATCTAGTTAATTTATCCTTTGCACTGGGATTCAACAGATCTAGTTAATTTATCCTTTGCACTGGGATTCAACAGATCTAGTTAATTTATCCTTTGCACTGGGATTCAACAGATCTAGTTAATTTATCCTTTGCACTGGGATTCAACAGATCTAGTTAATTTATCCTTTGCACTGGGATTCAACAGATCTAGTTAATTTATCCTTTGCACTGGGATTCAACAGATCTAGTTAATTTATCCTTTGCACTGGGATTCAACAGATCTAGTTAATTTATCCTTTGCACTGGGATTCAACAGATCTAGTTAATTTATCCTTTGCACTGGGATTCAACAGATCTAGTTAATTTATCCTTTGCACTGGGATTCAACAGATCTAGTTAATTTATCCTTTGCACTGGGATTCAACAGATCTAGTTAATTTATCCTTTGCACTGGGATTCAACAGATCTAGTTAATTTATCCTTTGCACTGGGATTCAACAGATCTAGTTAATTTATCCTTTGCACTGGGATTCAACAGATCTAGTTAATTTATCCTTTGCACTGGGATTCAACAGATCTAGTTAATTTATCC